CTAACGCCCTCATCTGGCCTCAGTGGGCATCTCATAAACATCATACACAAACACACACACACATGAATGCACACACATACACACACATGCACAAAACATTCACTTTGAAAATATAATTTCCAATATCTAAATTCTGTTCCTCTAATGATCTTTAGAGGGTCCCATGTGAAGTAAGTAAAGCCAGTCCTTGGATAACAGTTTTACAGTTAATGAAACTATACTCAGAGCAGTGGAGGCTGGGACTTGCAGGGTCCTTAGTATAAGTGACAAGCTTAGAATAGAATCTGGGTTTGCACAAGCAGGTTGATGGGCTTGGCATTTGCACACACATAGGCCCCCACTGTTAACTAATGAAAGCCTAGGCATATTCATTTGCCCATTAGCCAAAAATTATATTTTGAGTTTTAGTTATCAGGAAAATATAAAGATCTTTAGTAAGGTTATAACATATATATTAGATTTAAACTCTATAAAAAATTAAGAATTTTTATAGAATGCATTTAAAAGAATCTATGCAAAATGCACCAAAAATCCAACTACTCAAATTTAAACAGAACTGATCTGTACACTTTCAAGTGTGGTTCATGGTGTGGCATTTAGGGCCATATTATCAGTTTCACTGGATGGAAACATACGCGAGTTGTGTCTTCCTCTGGCAAGTGGTTCAGATGTTAAAGCCCTGGTCAGAGTAATGGTGAGCGCTTGAAGGGGAGGACAGTCTGTCCCCGCCTTGGGAATATTTTACAAGTTGTTAGGATTTTATATAGTGTATGTATGATGAGGTGTGCCAATTGCTTTCATTCATATATCTGTTGTATTGGTTCAGATGTTATATTGATTATCTGTAATAGATGAAACTATTTCTATAGCATGGCTCTAGGTCAGGGTCCGCCATGTGGTCTGGAGTAGCATACTAACCCACCTAGAAACTTCTGAAAAATATGAATTCTCATGCCTGCCCCCCGTTCCCCATGCTTCCTGTACAGAAACTCTGATGAGGGACAGGGTCAGTGGTCCAGCAGTCTGCACTTAGCTGCTTTTCCATTAAATCATCATGCTCAGATTTGAGCATAATGCCTTAATCTAATGGCACTTATAGTCACGTCATGGTTAAAGAATCATGGAGAGTATACCTTTAGAAGAGTACTCTTGTAGTTTAGTATTCAATACCGGTATTTCTTGGAATCTTGTATTTGGACACTCGGACATGATTTGTCTGACTCCTACAGAGGAAGCTCAGATGAGGTCTGCTGGCAGTGGCACAGTTTTCCACAGTACAGAGTGTCTCCAGTGCTTGTTACGTTAGCCCAATCCAGTGTAGGTTTAATTGGTTTATTGCTGTAGATTTTGAGTGTCTGGATGTTGCAAGCAGTGGGGATCACATTATGTTCATAAAAACATACTTGCAAATTTATCCAGTATTTAAGAATAAGTTCCCTTGAAAGGGAATTTGTAGTATTTTCTACTAAATAAGCAAAGAAGTGTTTTCTTAAAACCAATTCACTGAATTGTAAAGCATTTGTGAGTTGGGGTGAGGGGCATGACAGTCGGGGATGACAGACATAAAGGAGCAGAGTGAGGTGGGAAGTCAGCACGGACAGAACTCAGGGGGTCTTGTATTTGAAAAAAGATATAAACAATATTAACTCAGAACTCCAGCTTCCTGTTAAGCGAAGTCTTCACACTTCTTTGTTAATATTCTTTTTCTGTCTGAAACTTTGTTTTTACTTATAAAATGTATTTCCTGCCTTAATTTTGTCTTAAATTTGTGATTAGGCCAGAAAGGATAAGAAAAATACAGAAAGTTTGAAAATAACTCAGAGAACTCTAACATAACTCTTCTAAACAGCATACATTTTATCAGCTTCTATGAAAGCAGCTTTTGATACAGAAACTGCAAACCGAAAATGCAAACAGCATTATCTTTAAATGGAAGAAAATTTGAGCCTTCCTCTAGCCTCCTAGGAACAGTCAGAATAATGAGTGTATTTCTACCCAGAGTACTGAGTGACATGCACCACTTACACAGGACACACTCAAATAGTTACCCTAAGAAGACATGGCCAGAGTCAAAAGGAAATCTTTTGAATTTTTACTCAAGTATGAAAGTATTAAACTTCCAATAATCAGTCAGAGCAATGTGAAATGATCCCTATTACTGTGTAGTAACATAAAATGATGTGTTGCATAAGTTTTCAGATAAAAAGAATCTACCACGAAAGCAATTCTTCCTGTAAATAGCACTGTAAGAACTTCTGTTCAAGGCGTGACTGCCCCCATGTGGAACAGTTGTATTATCACCTGAAGAGGCAGAAATCTACCAGAAACCAGGATGAGAATGGCCTCATCATTCATTTCCTGAGAGACTTTATTTTAGATCCACTGATTGGATGATTATTCTTGGTACAAGTAGTTACACACCGATACTGACAATCAATCAGCAAATGCTAACTATGGAAATATGCATTAACTGCACTATCCAAAGGATGCTCCACAGACCAACAGTGTGTTTTGGGAGGTGTTTGTCAGGATGTCAACTCAGACCCCTGCTTGTATATACTTACTGACTCAGGGTTGGTATTTTAATCAGACTCCTGGGTTATTTGTGTGCGTCTAGATCTAGCTGTTGTCTCCATTCCAGCCCACCCACCTGCCATGTGGCTGCCCAGGCAACTTTCAACAGGAATCCTACTTCAATGTCTGTGGTCTCAAGATCTATTAGCCTATCTTTGAAAATGTGACAATCTCTCTCTCTCTTTGGTTTATTTTCTTCAACTAATATGTTATTTCTACAATTCAGAAAAATATTAACACAAATTTCCAAAAAAGGGCTTTCTTTTTTTTTTTTTTTGTTTCAGTAGAGATTATTTTATTTCGCCCAATCAGAGCCCTTCAGCAGAGACATTCATATACATATATATGAACATTTTCCAGAAACATTAACTTGTAATACATTCTTAAAATACCAACTTACGGTATTTATTTACAAAAATATTTCATTACCTAATTTTGAACCTTTTTGCTGTGATGACAGTTTTTTCCTGGTATGTTACAGAAATGCAAAATAACTAGAAAGTTTGAAAACATTTTTAGTGTTTCAATAGTACGTCTTAAAAAACAAAACAGTTCACAGATAATTTAAAAAATGTACTCCGAAAGCATACTCCAGTAATCGTCTTGGAGACAGTTACTGGACCGAGCAAACAGAACGAGGAAATACAGGAGCTGGACAGTGCGAATGGTGTGGGCACAGGCAGCACTGAGGATCAAGCATGCTGGCCCTTAGTGCAGACGATGCTAGGAACTAAATCTGTCTCTTCTAGAATTGTTTTTGAAACACATTTCTAATGAGCCAAAGGTGTAACTAGAAGTATTCCCCAGCCCTGATTCTAGCTCCCATGTTGAGCACACCTAAAGTATCACATTACTATTTACAAAAAAAGAAAAAAGAAAGGAAAAAGAAACCAAGCCACTATTTCTTATCTTTGCATTACTTCCCACTGATAGGTTAGGTTTGTTTGAAATTCAGTACACTCTTCAACTGGAGCAAAGTTTAGATAACAAAATACAAATAGTATTAAAAAAAGTCAAAACCTGAAACTCACATAAAACAATTAGCCTACACCTGAGTCAAGTGACCTACAATGAATTGACACTATTTATTTACATTTTATAGATGATAAAATTTTATTTTAAACTATGTGCCTCACTGAAAAACACTGGCAGAAGCACATTAACGTTTCTTCTGAGGAACACCTTAAGCAGCTCTGGAAATGCCACTAGATTCATAAATGAACTTGGCTAGTAATTTCAGAGCCAGAATTGTGATGTTAATAAATGATTTGCTTCCTCAGAAAATCTCAGCTACAGTTTTGCCCCTTTCCTTTATGACAACTGCTTTATGCCCACTGCACCCTCACAGCATTCAAGGCAGAGGGTTGCCACAGTGCTCCATGAGCAGGTCAGGAGGGGCATCCGACAAAGGCCCGGAGCTGCACATTCATTTCCAAATCAGAAGCACTCTTGGGCATCCATCTCAAGGCAGAACAAACACCGAAAAGAAAAGGCAAAACAGAAAACCAGAAGGGTCACTGGCTACATAGGAGTAAAGATAGCTTAAAAAAGCCTGGGAGTATTGATTAAGTATCAAACTGATAAGGAACAAATTCTATAAACTACAAAATAAAAAGAAAACCTTCATTGACAAAAATACATAAACTCTGTTTCCATTTTTGGAAATTTATTTTTAAAAAAGGTAGAAGAAAAATATCTGGAAAACCATTTTCAATATATATATATATATATATATATATATATATATATATATATATTAAAACAATAGCTAAGATAAGCATCCAACAGCAAGCTGAAGCTATGGAAAAAGTTCTAGAAATTACTATTGTGGATAGTTCACCTTAAAATAAAATCAATATTTGAAAATATTCAGCAGAGGGTTTTTTAAAAACTATATAATTGTATCTTGTCATTGTGTGACAACTTTTCAATGATGCATGACCTTTTAAAACTTAATTGTATCTCGATATGAGATACCAGTATTTCTTATTAGAAGCGTAAAACTTAACTTTTTGTATGGATAATATACATACTTTTTAAGTACTTTGACTTAACAAGTTCACCATTTTTAAAATTAAAGAGACCATTTATAAAAATTCATCTAAAACTAAAAGTATACTTTCTAGCAGTGTATAAATATAACATGTTACTGTGTGATTTTAAAACAACTCTGAAAGTGCCGCAACAAAGACCAAGAACACCGAAAAATACAGCAAATAATCTCATTTGTTTTTAATATTTAAAAGCTATATAAAACCCTATTAAAGGTTTTAAAACTGATTGGTTTCAGGTGCAGCTAGCAGCATAGCATAGTCATGATTTTGGTATGCTTTATACACACATATCACTTGATTTAAACCAAAAAGTGCAGATTAAATAAATGACAATAAAAAGTCATTACCTAAAAAAGTGCAGAAAAATTCAAGTTTAAAGTTCAGTGCTCTTTATTTTGCAGAAACAAATAAATAAAATCCCCCAAGTTAAAATAAATCTTTGCCACAAAACAAAAACAAAAAACCTTTGGAGATAGCTTTACTAATGTCACATGCAAAATGCCTTGAGCAAAGCACAGATGATTTGAATACAGAACTTAAGATAAAACTTGGAACAGCTTCCTTCCTTACCTGTCTTCCAGAATCTCCCTCGCTCTAAACATATGTGTACTTTCAGGCTGGTTTCAAACACTCAAATATCTATCTGAACTAAATTCAGAAGAACCAACACAAAGTCCTAAGCAAATTATCAACGTAATGCTCTTGATGACAGTGCAGTATAATTGCAAGGAATGACAGATGTACATAGCAGTATTTTTTTCTATGAACCTCAAATCAGGAACAGTTGTTGTTTTTTTAATCTATAACCAATTTTTGAAATAGTACAGCTGAAATGTGAGTGAGTGTTAAGGTAATGCCATATTTTAAACAGAAAGATTTTGACAAAATACAATACTTCAAATAACAACATTCTAAGCAAACAGGGACTGATTTTAGTTTGGGAAATGAATTGGGTATGTGGTATATACAGAGAAATCTCTTCTCATTAATAAGGTTAATTGAGGAATACATGAATTTCAGAATCAAAGACAAATGAGGGTAGAGAATAGACACATAGACACACACACAGATTTTCATTTTCTGATATTTTCTATTTTGACCTTTCTGCTGTTGTTATTGTCACAGTTCCTGAAACTTTGGCTTGCTGGTGACTACTGCTTTTTGCATCAAAAAGACAGGAGTGGGTTGGGGGTAGGCAGGCCATCTCAGACTCCAACCAACTCTCTGGGTTGGTCACCTTTAAGGAATCAAGCACAGCTCTGGGAAGCTCATTTTCTTATTCAAAAAATACTTTGGACTTTCTAGTCCTAACCACTTAGCTTGTGCACACTGTGTAGGCTAATTTGAAAAAACAAAGAGTCTAAAATCGTAGGTTAAGATGTTCTTACGAAATGCAGCTCTGGTAAACGCATCTACTTCGCTATCAGTAATTACAACTTTGAGTCCTCTCACATACAGCAGTTAAATGACTGTAGAAGGAAACGATGTACAAACAATACAACAGCCTAAACAGCGGAGGCTTCACACAGTCAGCAGTGCATCAGGTTACTTAGTACTTTTTGACTTTTTAAAACTCTTTATGACTATTGATACTCATAAAACTATACCTCTAAAAAGGAACCCAATCCTTCCAATGAAGTATCATGGAACATGGGTTTAATGAACAATATATAATGCAAATTAAGCAATTTGTAAATTGCCAAATGTTCAGAGCACGGACATGAAACAGAAATGTGTTTTTCACTTTCTACAGATTCAGAAACTTTTAAAAACAATTATAGTTTAAAAACATTTTTACCTTGATCAATTCTCTTTATCACAGATATTTAACCCTTACTCAATGCTATTTAAACTTTGATGTAAACTTTTATATCCAGTAGTGCACGTTATAAAATGTAAACAAAAGATTTATTAATGAAAGAGAAACAGGTCAGTGACTGACTGAAAAGTGAAGATATCTTACACAGAACTTTACTCATCACATGGAATAAAAAACAACCACGCTTCCCAAATTGTGCTCTGCTCATTCGTGAGGACCCAGCACAGACTTTCACACAAGACAATATGTAAAGTTCCTGCTCCCTTCCCTTCCCTTCTTCCTTTGTGGCTCTCACAGCTGCAGGCCCTGGCTCTGCCCTCCAGACTGCTTGCTTTCTGTGCTTTCCTGCTACTGCAAGAACCAATCATTCAGTGTCCTCTGCCACGCAATGCCCATCACTCTTCATTACGGAAAAAACTTGGTCACCAAAGTGAACATACTTTCCTTTCTTTTTGCCTTTAGTATCTGAAAGGACATGTGCAGGTGTGATGTGTTTCTATAGGGTGTTTTGTAGGTCATCAGACTGGGCTCCTGAGCACTCACACAAGAGACACCTGCAGTTTCCCATGCGGTGGCATGTGCACTAAGATTAAACGGTTCATCACCTGAGTGTGCTGACACTGTCAGCACACAAAGGAGAGTTTTAAAGGGAGCTGAGCACTTAACTGAAATGATAAAACACTGTTGTTTTAGCAATTTTAATTAAATAACGCAAGGGTACATTTGGTTAAACATTTTATAAAAATTCAAGCAAAATTAAAAACTTAGCCAATTTTAACTTTTCTACAAATTTAACCAGTAACAGTTTTGGTCAAGTCTACCCTTAGCTGAGTTGATGTGAACGAGGACAAAAGACATTGAAGAATTCTCCTCACCACAATGGAGGTTTTCTTACTTTCCACACCGCATGGCCACTACATGGAAACTCAGAAGATGAGCGATTCAGTCATGCGTTACACTTTTCGATGAAAAGTGATGTATCACCTTGTTTTGCTTTTGAAAAAAATAAGAACTGAACACAATTATATGATTAACAAGAACAGAACAGGATCCCCATACATGAGCTATGTATACGTTTTGATTACGTAAAGCCCACCATTCAGCAGAGTCTAAAGATAAGGGGACAGTTTGTTGCTCTTTCACCAATGACACTGATGACCAGTCTACTTGAGAGAGGGCGAGTCCAGACAGCTGTTCCTAATACAATCCAGACACAAATGTGACCAGTTAGGACTTATAACTGCTGATTTATAGCCTCTCCCCACATTGGATCAAACACTCATGGCAGATACAATGGCACAAAATCTTTTGGCATCTGAAAGTTTAATACAGGGATGATCCAAGGGAGCACCCTCCAGCACTTCTCAACGTTCTTTGTGTGTTCATCTGTCAGTGTGACCCTGCTTACTTCTCCGTTTGTCAGCTCATAGCCAGCGTATACCATCTGCTCCAGTTTGCACGCATGTGAATTCTTCTCAGTTAAAGCCATTTGACTGAGGTAAAACAGTGCATGATTGTGCTGGGAAAGAAGTTTTCAGCACTGTGCATCCCTTTTATGTTATCTTTCCCAAATACATCAATGGCATCAACAAGGAAATTTTCTTTTCCTTCTGGTTAAAGTCAGACTTATTGGATTCTGGTTGTCAGAACTGGTACCACTTTTTATCTTTGTATTTCAGCATCATCTATAAAAGAAAAAAAAATAAAGAAAAATCTGTTTTTAAAATTCACAAAAACTATTTCTAACTGGTGCCCATCAAGCATACTATTCTGAAGCATTCTGGACTGACACTTCGATTATTTAAAGTACCATGAATTGTTTTATTTAGACAATGGCTATATTTATAAACAATTATCCCAGGAAGTGCTCAATTTCTGATATGTATTATAACTTCTATTTGATGTGTAACATAGGTGACTTAGCAAATAACTTAAAACAAGGTCACTGCCATGTCTCTAACTAGAACTAAAAGTAATGCTTTAAGGAATTAGGGAAAGAAAGGCTGGAAAAGCTACTGCTATCTCAAATTTACTGAGCCCCTGCTGTGCTAGACAACAAATGACTCACCTTCTCTGATCTGTACAATTCTTGGGGTGTGATTCTTTTCTCACTTTATAAGTAAAAGCCCACAGCTTCTAGGTTTTACTCAAGGTTCACAGACTGGTGAATCTGGGTTTTGGTCCTGGCAATCTGAATTCAAGAGTCCACAAGTGCAGCCTAATGTACTGTCCCTCTAGACCCTCAACTATATCTAACAACTGTAGAAAGGAAAGGCAACGGGGCTCCTTATCTTTGGATTTTGCAAATAGTGTCAAAGTGCTTCTGTTGTGCAGGGTTGCGGCAACAGAACTCCTGCCCTACACTGAAGGCTGTTTGCTTACACTGGAGGGACCTGCGTCACCCCCGACTTCCTTAGGGGCTCCAGACAAGTGTCTTCCAGGTCAAACTATCTCCCCCATACAACACAAGCAGAGAAGAGATGGCTAATAGTTGAAGAAGTAAAGGAATGCTCATATTATAGGGACTGGATGGTCAAAGGTAAAAGTAACTTTAATGCTGTTCAGCTGGGCAAGAACCCGCAACATCCTCAAACGGCAGTCTAAGAAGCAAAAATGAGAAGTCACCAGTCCATAGTAGGAAGAGTCACACGTGCAAAATAATCATTTGTATTTTACATGGAGGCGTTTAAGCTCATAGAAGTATTTTTAAGGATTCCTCTTTATTTTATACGCATGACTGTTTCTCCTGCAGTTTTGTGTATGTACCATCTTCTGTTGCAAAGCCAGAGAAGGGCATTAGATTTCCTGGAACTGAACCTACAGGTGGCTTGAGCTGCCATGTGGGTGCTGGGAACCAAATGCAGGTCCAGTAAGTACTCTTGTCTGCCGAGCCATCCCTGCAGCCCACAAATTACTTTTTAATAAAGCCTGTATCAGTCAGCAAAACACAGCTGTGTGAGCATCACGTAGGGAACCCAACACCTTATGGCAACTGCTTCTGAGGTCCATGAATTCACCACAAAAGCTGTTCCACTACCTCCCCAGATACACAGATTCAACCTGTCAACTGATTCTACCTGGAAGAACCAGGGGACACTGATTTCTTTCAGGACAAGGTGGCTGCAGACCGAGGAGTTACAGCAGGCTAGCATTCTTACCGAGGCCACTGACAAACAGGGGCAAAGCTTCTACACTGTTGACAAAGGTTCTAAAGGCAGACACGCTCCTTTAAAAGGTAAAGACTTCAGGAGCGGTAAGGACTATTGCCATATTCTTGTAATGGCTCCCTCTTGTGATCAAAATAGAACTTGCAACTGTACAAAGTACATAGTAGAAATAACAGAATATACAAAATGAAGTCATTTTCCTATTTGCTTTATCTAGTTCCTTGGGTGACTGTGTGCCAGGCATACCTCATGAGCATGTTTGGAAAACGAGTCTGCACTGGACAACATGGCTGCAGTCCTCTCTTCCAAATCACTTAGTTTCTGCCCTCTTTCATCCAGGGCCAACCTGGCTCGGGCCAGTTCACCCACAACTCCGGATGCAGCTCCTTTCACACCTTCAATCCCACCAGGACCTGGGATGTGCTGTGCAAGACTCCTCGAGGCCTTTCCTGAGGATGACTCTCCAACTGGAAAGTTTTAATAAATCGGAGGAAAAATCCACCATGTGGCAGCATTAAAATACAATTTACGGATCATGTAGCAATACAATTAGAATATTAAGTTTATGACATACCTTTATTGTGTTGTTTTAAATTATTCTTAGATGTGTTTCCAAATCTGCAATGCACTGTACTAAACACCCTACTCTTCCCTAGATCATAAAGCAGGAATTTGGGGAAAACAGGGCTAGCTAGCAATTGCTGAAAGAAGCAGGCACACTGATGCAGATTTTGTAACTAAAACTGCTTTGGGGTTGCTAACATTATAGTTCATGAATTTTAAGCACTTAACTGTAAGTGTAAAGATGTAAGTTAAAATTTTCAGATTTGATTTTGTGTGCTTATTCTACACTTTATAAAAGATATCATTTCTATTTTGGAGTCCAGATCTGCAGACATGCTTTCTTTGTCTCCATTAAAGTTTTCACTTTTCAAATACATAAAATCATACTTTTTCTTTAAAATATCTTGTTTGCACCCCCTTTAGTATCCAGATCCTGATCATCTAACATCCATATCACAGCAAGTCTTGGATCCCTGCGGTCAGACTCCAGTTATATGGCCTAGCACTTCTGGTTAGGGTTCTTTTCCTGAATCTTAAGTAAGCACGCTTCACACACTATCCAACCCCAGAACATGCCTTCATCTCCCACACGAAAGCCCATGGTCTGTTACCCTCACCGTCTACTCTCCCTCTTCCCAGCCCTACTCAGTCACTAGTCTATTCTATCTCTAAATATCTGTCCATTGTAAATATTCCATATAAACACAGCCACACAGACTATGGCTTTGCACGGCTAATGGACCCACGTAGCTGTTCCTGGCTAACTTCTCTCACTGAAGACATTTTCCAGTTGATCTGTGTAGCAACAAGCATCAGGGGTCGCCGCTTCTTATGGTTGAATGGTGTATCATTTTAAGGGTAGAGCACATTTTGCTTACGCTTTCACTCAACAATGGATATTTGGGTAGTTTTCATTTTTATGGCTTATTATAAATAATGTTTCCTTGAAAATTTGTGGATGTGTTTGTGTAAACATACATTTTCAGTTACCTTGGGCATATATGTCTGGAAAGAAAGAGACTAGGGCAGGCTTGGGACACTTGATAATTCAATATTGACCTTTTTGAGGTCTAGAAGGCAGCTTTCTAAAGAGGACACACCATTTTCATCTCCACCAGTAATGTGAGCTGTAGTTTCTCTACATTCTTCCGATGTTCATGTGTCCTGATGGCAGCTAGCCTAGTGAACATAATGTGGAGCCTCACTATGGCTTGTGATACACATTATTTCCTGAATGATGAATGGTGTTAGACATCTTCTGATGATTACTGATCAAGAATATTTAAGAAATTAAATATTTCTGCTCATTTAAAATTAGGATATTTATTCTTTTATTACAAAATTATGAGGGTTTTTTTTTTTTTGTATATGCTGGATGCAGACTTTGTCAGGTATCAGATATGATATATATGTAGTTTGTCCTACTATTTGAACTGTCATATTTTCTTCTTGCTCTTTTTTTTAAAACACAAAGTTTTCATGTAGATGAACTACTATTAACTTTATTCTTTGGTTGTTTACATCTTAGGTAAACTATCTGGGAACCACTAACAGAAATGGCAGATTTATTTCACTTCCTTCCAAGAGCTTTGTGCTTTAACTCTCATGGAGAAGTCCCTGGTTCTTTTGTTAATTTTCATGTTGTTGGTTTTTATCCATGTGAATATCTAGTTGTGTCAACATTGTTTGTTGAAAGGTCCATTATTTCCTCATTGGATTTTCTTGGCATACTTGCAGAAAATCAATTGATTATAAATGCTATAGGCTTAGTTTTGGACTCTCAATTATATTCTCTTGCTTACATCCATGCCAACATCTCACAGACTATTGTCGTATAGGCCAGAACTTTGTAGTAACTCTTGCAGTAGTAAATGTGTGTCCTTTGGCCTTTGCGTCTACTTTAAGACTTTCTGTATATGGAAGGGTTATCTCCATTTCCTTATTTTCATGTAAATTTTGGAAACCATTTATTATTTTATGCAAAAATACAGTTTATATTCTGGTGGGGATTATTTAGATTGGCTTGAGGAGCAGCACAGATATCTCAGCAGGATAAATAAAGTCCAAGAACATGAGATGTTGTTCTGTTTACCTGTTAATTTCTTTAACATTCTCAAGTTTTAGTGAGAATGTCTGTCACTGCTTTTGTGGGGTTATTTTACAATGCAGAACTCTATCAGACCTTCAAAGAAGAGCTAACATCATCACTTCCCTGAGCACACATATAATGGAAGGAGAAGAACTTCCCACTTCTCTCAGGAAGCAGGCATGGCCAGCAAAACTGAGATCTACGTGGGGTTTTGTTGTTGTCCTTTTGTTTGTTTGTTTTGATGCTGAGATAACTGAAAGTGTCACCTAAGTTTCACTTTTGCATTATTCATTGTTGGCATATAGAAATACAGGGAACGTTTAAAGACTGATCTTCGATTCTTTGATCTTGCTCACTTGTTTATCAGCTTTATTTATTATTGGTTGGTTTTCTTAGGATTTTCTATAATCAAGACTCTGTTATCTGTAAATACAGAAAAGTTTGCTTTTACCATCTGATCTTTTCCTTTTCTTGTGTGATGACACTGTGTTGTGTGTGTGAGAAAAGAAGTGGTGGGGATCCTCTAAACTTCACATAAATTTACTACTAGCCATTAAGTATGTACGTACATATGTGACGGTACACACACACACACACACACACACACACACACACACACACACGCTGTTGTTCAGCAGTTTCCTTGAGTTGAAGAGCCCTCCTAGAGGGAGGCACATGGGACCCAGGAGGTAAACAAAACTTCATGCCTAGGCAAGCGGGAGCTTGGGCCAGTCTCTAAGCCCTATCTCCAGCTTTCTGGGAAAAAACATCTGCTGTGGAAGAGAGGGATCAGCTGTTGAGAGGGAGACTCATGGACTGTCCAGCCGCATTCAAGCTGTGCAAAGAGCTCTGCAGTTGCAGCTCTTCAGTCATCACTTGTGTTGAACTTTTCTATGATGTAGCTGCTTTGTAGTTATCCTTACTCCTGTAAGAAACCCCTCATTGATAGGCCTGTTTCCTAGTAACACCCACTAACACTGATTGACCACGTTGGACATTGGTACAATCATTACTTTGGTCTATGGTGGGTTTCCTTTCTGGAATGAACAGACAGGTGTGTGTTCCATCTCCTCAGGAGAAGTCTCTCACACAGCACGTACATATACATCAGGTTTTGGAGAACCCATATATTCCATGAACTCAGTATTTGAACCCATTGGAATCCTTTTTTCCCTCAACAAAGTGTTATAATTTTTAATATTGCCAATGGAAGCTTTGAATTTCTGTTAATATTTCTTTCTAGGTCATGCATGCATGCATCCATCTACCCATTCATCCAATCAGAACCTTGTGTGTGGTAGGCAAGCCCCTTTTTACTGAAATTAACTCTCAAATTAACTTTTTCTAAAAGTCAATAACTATTTCCAGGCTTAAAAAAATGCCCCCTTCATCAAGATGGCTACACTTCAATTTCTGGAAGGCAGAGATATGTCACCCTATGATAGAAAAGGGGCTTCACAAGCTAAGGACCTAGACCTGGATTGGTTCCCTTGAAGCATCTAGGTGAGCTCAATCAAATCACAGAACTCCTTAGGAGCAAAGTGTCTTTCGTGGGCACGGAGACATGTAGATTCAGAAAGACATGACATTGCCTCCCACAGTGACAAAGAGATCGGGAGCTCAGGGAAAGAGATGACACCCCAGAAGCTGAACAAGGCAGGGAAATGCATCCCTACCCAGAGCCTCCCATAAAGAACCAAATGTGGCAGCATGCGCTAAACTGCTGATGTCTAACCTACAGAACGGAAGCCTAGAAACCCCCTAAGCTGGGCTGTTTTAGGTCAATAGATTGGTGGTGTGGTATAACAGCAGTGGGAGAAAGTTAATATAAAAAATAACTGATAGAGATTTCATTTTACATTTTCATGTACTGATTTATCCAGTACTTGTAAAAACTTAGCTACTGATTGTTTTGCCCTTGACAGGGACAGTAGGACCTTGGTCACCTCACTCTCTACTTCCCAGCTGCTATGAAGCAATAAACTCTGCTTCCAGCTGACTGTCCTGCCTCACTCAGTTCCAGGAGACAGTCACTAACTGAGGGCTAGAACTTAAGCCACCAGGAATCTTGCTAGGCTACAGCATATGGTAGGAGAGGGCTTGTCCAGCATGTGTGATACTAGAGTTCAACTCCCAGGACTGGGAAAAATACCCCAAACAAATAAAGCCAAACTTTATTCCTTTTATGTAGATTTCTTTCTGGTAGCCACTTGAAGTTATGCTGGTTTTGGTTGCCTGAGAAAAATATTTTCCTGATTGAGGACAGAATGAGAAAGTAATTTTATGCCTTTTGTTAAACCATGGATATAATTATTATAATGAATATGAAAAAGCATAATTTATACATGTGACAGAAATTTTATATGGGTTGAATATTTTTGTCTTAAAGAAACTAAGATTAAACCAAATTAATTCAGGCAACTTACATAGTTCTTCTCTATCGAGAGACTGGGCACCGCCTCCGAATAAACCTTTAAAGAACCCTCTGTTTGGTGCTTCTGGCGTTTCCACAGGAGTGAAGAGCTCACCGAGCATCTCCTTTAAAATCAAAACACATTACACTGTTAAAACTCCAGGGAAACACAAGTTTAATTAACAAGATCAGCACTGGAAATGCTGTAATAGCCGCCAATTCCCTTGAGACTCACCAATAGTCAACAAGCATACTCCAAGTGGTCAGGTCAGGGTGCAATGACTAACTTGAGGGTGGGTTTCTCAGCACAGATTTACTGAGGAATTTGCTGTTTTCTCCTCCCGCTACATTATCTGTTTGACTTACAGCCAAGACAGCGTGACTGCTCAGAGGGTGACGAGATGTAACTTTTGTCTTTGAGACTGTTGGTATATACCCCAGGCTGGTGTGGAACACATGATCTTTCTCAGTGAGTATTTGATTTTCAAGAAAACATTTCAATCTAACTGAAGAAGAATTTATAATTTTCCTGAGAACCGGGTCATCTTCTCTAACAGAAAGAACATTCTCTACCACTAGGCCAGGGTGTTTAGTATAACAGTAGCCATTATTCAGTTTCAGAACTATCATCTTGACTGAAATCAGAAAAGCTGCCATTTAGATGCATCAACTTCCTTCCTCATAAGCATGTAATTTCCATAGACATCACTCTGACTTGTGGGATTTGACATGCATGGTAGAAAGAGGAAAGAGTGGCTTTTACACTGTCAAGTCTGCCCTGAACTGTTAACAGTCTTCAGACAGAAGAAAAGGTAAGAGCAAGGTGGAGAGAGGAATGGTCACCATCAGGGAGGGGCTAGCAGTAGAAGGAGCACACTCAACACATGACAAACCTAAGGCCAAGTAGATACTAAATGGAGAAAACAAAAGGCTGCAACATTTCTGCTAAGGAACAAAGCTGTCTGTCTGCTCTTTTCACTTCCACTCACTAGAGCTTGCAGTCCCAGTGAGGGCACTGAGACAAGACGGAAATAAAAAGGCACAGACAGGGAAGAAGAAGTCCTTTATTTACCACAAAGCTTGATAAGAAAATGCTTTACCAAAGTTTTAATATAGTTATAGCATGTCTTAATTTCTTAGGTGACTCTCTTTAGAAGTTTAGATCCAGAAATCACAAGTTTGTGTTCTTACAACAAAAAGGCTTTGGGGCTGGAGCTAAGAAACCTTTGCCTACTCAAGAGTTTTTCCATTCATTTCCTTTTAGAAATTTTACAGTTTGGGGGATAAAATGTAGATTGATGATCTATTGTGATAGCTGTATTAAACAAATTAAATAAGTCTTAAAAAAGACAAAATTATGTGCTTTTTCTCATTTGTGGGTTCTAGGTTTATGATGATCCATAAAATTATGCATGTATAGATGACATGAGAGTAGAATAAAATTGTGTAGGGTGCAGTGAAGAGTCATCAGGGAGCGGGCAGAGGAAAGGCAAAGGGGTGCGGGGGCTATACCCCAAGAATATTATATTTGTAGATGAAAGCCACTCTATATGACCCAGTATAGAATAATAATGTGATAAAATATAAACAAAGCAAAAAGGGGCTGTACTTTCCCACAATGGCTCATATGTGCATCCCCATGAGAAAAGGGAACAGATGTGATACCCTCAGTGGATCTTTAAATGCTACAGAAATTCTAATACTGTGTTGCTCACCTGAAGATTTTCGCATGTCTCTTGACTGTAGGTGAGTCTCTGGATTTCCGTAGGTGAAACAAGGTATAAGGCTTGTCCATTGTTGGCAAAGCAGAATGTTCTGGCTATCCGCATGTTGGTAAGGGGCAGGTAGTACACATCCAATAAAGGTCTCAAGCTTGGCAAACTTGAGGGAAAATACACAATTTGTTAGTAATAAGCAACAGTTATTTACAGATGCTATAGGACACGTATAATGTACAATGACACTATATATGAAGACATGACACTGAAAACTACTAATCTGAATGCTAGATTAGAAAATTGATGAAAGAAAAAGAAAGAAAATGGCATGTCTGGGGCTATTCAGTTGTTTAGTTTATATAGACAAAGGAGGGAAAATATGATCTGTACTGCTCATATCCTTCTTTCCTATTACAAGAATGAAAACAAATTCTCAGTATATAAGACTATGAGTGTTTTCTCCAAGCTGAATTTTATAATGTGACGAATGCTGTATATATTAAAAATGACCTCACTCTTACCTAAAAGTCATAATATGGCCATTGGCACAGAAGCACGCCAGGCAAACACTGTTACTCAGTGCTACAATGTCTCCACGAAGCACGAAGGACGTCTCAGTAATATTCTGCTTATATGCACAGTTCTGGGTTGGCAGTGAGATTACTTTTGCTTGCTTTTCAGAACATATCACTGCATACTGGTTTTCACTAATTTCCTGAGAAGAGGAGGGGGAGACTGAGACAGGTCGCCGCTTTTTCAACTTCTCCTTTTCGTCTTTTTCTTCAGGGATGTTGTGTTCTTTCCAGGGTTCATAGGCAGGTGGCAATAAGCAGCCCGTGGCATCCAGAAATGCCATTCTCAAGATTGCACCTTTTAACCTCAATATAGTACCTAGAATGTAGAAGTTTAGTATACACTTCCATTTTTTTCAATTCAGAGTAAATATGATTATTCCAACTCTGACACTAAACACAAAAATATGTTGACTGCACAGTATACTATTTGTAATTGTATCAGGTCACTGATAAAATCCAAAACTCAAGCCATGTTATTTATATGTGTGGAAAATACATCAGCACTACATGCTCCAAACAAATGTCAAATGCTAATAACATAAAATTAAATAATGAATTTTGCACACACATATCTGACCTACAGAATAATAAATGAATGTTGTTTTCTTTAAATGTAGAACTAGACAATTTATTTTAATTAAAATTAATTTGTGTTACACGGGAACCTGTGGAAATGTGGGGCAACTCTGGGACTTGGGTCTGTCCCTTGTTTCTGAGGCAGGCCTCCTCCTTCCTGTGTGGTGCAGTCCAGGCTGGGAGCCTGAGAGCTCTGGGCCAGTTTCCTGTCTTAACTCTTATCCTGACATGGGAGCGCTGGGGTTATAGCTGTAAGCCACCTGCTCCGAGCTATTCATGTGAGTTGTAGGGATTGAACTCAGGTCAGTAGGCTTGAGTGAAAGATTATTTTATTTGCTGAGCCTTATCTGTGGCCCTAGAATATTTATTTCTTAAAACAGAAAACGGTCACTAATACCATTTATCTTTCCAATGCTTGTATCAGTAAATGAAAAGCTAGAGCTTCTAGGTAAGCCAGAGGATGTCCCCCATGGGACACACATCTGCATGGAGCCCCAGGACATACATACCACTTGGAGACACAATCACTGGCTGCAGGAGCCTTTGCTCAGGCCCAGGGGGAAGATTCAGTGTGATGACGAACACTGTCCCCAGCGTAGTTCCCACCCACAGACATGGGGATGGGGAAGGGTCTGCTTTCCGGGTAAACGTTTCGCAGAAGTGGAGAGCAGAGATTGCTTCTCGGGACTCTTTGTCAATGCTCGTTACACTTGAACTCCGTGATCTGCTGAAGGAATTATCTTTTACATCTGAAATGATTTAAAATGTGGGGTTGCTTTAGTTTATAAAACATCACACTTTTGTTGTTGTTACAATAATGACAAATGAAGCTTTTAATGTCCTTTAGGTAAAAAGAAAATAATTTATGTTTATTAACAAAATTTCCTTATTGCTTAAATGTAAAATGCACATAAATAGTTTTCAGAAGTGAGCATGGTACCTCCCAATGAAACCCTGATTGTGTGATCTCTGGTGTTAGCACTCACTGTTCTTGTGGAGCTGTTACATCCTTGGCATCATAATTCACGATTAAATAAAATTAAAAATCAAAGATCATTTCAAGTCTTTCATGTACAAACTGCATAGAGAAGTGCTTGAAGAGTGAACCACCTGTTTCTCAGTCTGTTCACATGAACACCATAAAAACCAATAGAAAAGGTAGTTCCCATTTCCCTTGGCTACAAATGTTTTTCTAAGAAATTTGGCTTCAAAATGTGCAACTGGTATCTTAGCGCCAGGCATGTTTCTCTACTCAAGTTTGTCTGTAATGATATAGTTACTTTATTTTAAAATGTATGTGCATGGGGCTGGGGTTGTGGAGAAAGGGGAACCCTACTCCATTGTTGGTGGGAATGTAAACTGGTACAACCGCTTTGAAAGACAATCTGGCGCTTTCTCAGACAATTAGAAATAGTGCTTCCTCAAGATCCAGCTCTCCCACTCCTAGGCATATACCCAAAATTTGCTCAAGTACACAAGGACTTTTGCTCAACCATATTTGTAGCAGCTTTATTTGTAACAGCCAGAATCTGAAAATAACCCAGATGTCCCTCAATGGAGGAATGGATACAGAAATTGTGGTATTTTTACACAATGGAATACTACTCAGCAATCAAAAACGAGGAAATAATGAAATTTGCAGGCAAATGGTGGGATCTAGAAAAGATCATTTTGAGTGAGGTATCCCAGACGGAGAAAGACACAAATGGTATATACTCACTCATATAGTCCTATAAGATATGATGAACATAATGAAATCTATACACCTAAAGAAGATAAACAAGAAAGAGGACCCGGGGTAAGATGATCAATCCTCACTTAGAAAGACAAATGGGAGGTGCATTGGACATAGGAGAAAAGTAACAGGACCGGAGCCTACTGCAGAGAGCCCCTGAAAGACTCTACCTAGCAGTGTATCAAAGCAGGTACTAAGACTCATAACCAAACCTTCGGCAGAGTGCAGGGAACCATATGAAAGAAGGGGGGGGGTTTGTATGATGTGGAAAGGATAGGAGCTCCACAAGGACCAAATATATCTGGGCACAGGGGTCTTTCTGAGACTGACACTCCACCAAGGACCATGTATGGATATAACCTAGAACCTCTGCTCAGATGAAGCCCGTGGTAGCTCAGTAACCAATTGGTTTCCCATAGTAAGGGGAACAGGGACTATTTCTGAAAGAAACTCAATGGCAGGCTCTTTGACAGTCCTGTTAGGCCACAGAGGAGGACTTTGCAGCCAGTCCTGAAGATACCTGATAAAACAGGGTCAGATGAAAGGGGAGGAGGTCCTCCCCAATCAGTGGACTTGGAAAGGGACAAGGAGGAGATGAGGAAGGGAGGGAGGGTTTGGGAGAAAATGAGGGAGCGGGATACAGCTGGGATACAGAGTTAATAAAATGTAACTAATAAAAAATATAAATAAATGTATGTATGTATGTATGTATGTATGTATGTATGTATGTATGTATGTATGCATGTGCATTAGTGTTTTGCCTGCAGGTGTGTCTGTGTGATGCTGTCAGACTCCTGGAACTGTTATGGGCAGTTGTGAGCTGCGGTGTGGGTGCTGGGAATTGAACATGGGTCCTCTGTTGCTCTTAATCACTGAGCCATTTCCAAAGCCTGATATAGCTATTTTAAAATTATACTCATTTTCTTCCATTAGCATTTTGTGTTCAATCCCATCCCAAGCCTTTGCCTGTTTCTCTAGGAACTGCATTTCCAAAAGCTTCCTAAACATGCTTTCTGCTTTGTGTCCTGAGAAATCATATCATTAACAAAGCATTAAATTTTACTGACATCAGGGCATTTGGAAACAATCTATCTTAGGGAACAATCTACAGTCATGATTCCACACTTTTAATACCCAGTTCTTGGGTATTAAAAGTTCTGTCTCAGTGTTATTTTCTTTCTGTCACCAATCTAGTTCCATTATTCTAAATTCTGGTCCTCATCTCCATTTACCTACATGATGATCCCACCTTCACTTTCTCACTGCTAATACAACCCAATTTTATATAGCATAATTATAACTCAATTGCTTTAAGTTATTACAAATTACAAATCCTTCAGTAGCTTCTACCTGTCTATTTAATCATGCTTAGTCTTACTAATAAGACTGTTCAGAAGCTGCTATTCAGACCTTAACTCTATGGCTTTGTCTCCTGATGTTATACTTCTTCAGTTTACCATGGAATCTAAATGGAAACTGAATTTTTTGCAAACATAACCTGTATATAACTTTGTGATCTCTGGTCCTTGCATCCAAACCTTTTGTACCAAGCAACACTTGCTACCTCAGTCATTTCATCAGGACACCTAGGCCACAGTAATCCTCTGGTCTTTGCACAGTTGAGCTTTGTTCTCTCCTAGTTGTTGCCAGTTATTTTCGACCTGTCTTACTTCTTGCTCTAATATGATTGTAGTGCAAGGATTGTATCCTTTTGATATTCTGTAGAATATTCTAGAGCTTCACTTATAAAGTTTATTCAATTGACACTTACTTTAGATGAATCTGTAATATTAAGCCACTTTGTTCAACAGTGCCATTAGAATATACTAACATTTCCAGAAAGTTTTAAAAATGACACCCTCGGAACCTGCCACAGAGGGCCTCTGAAAGCCTCTGCCCTGCAGACTATCAAAGCAGATGCTCAGCCTGATGGCCAACTGACGGGCAGAGTGAATGGAATTTTATGTAAGAAGTGGGAAATAGTAAGAGCTGGAGAGGACAGAAACTCCACAAGGAGAGCAACAGAACAAGAAAATTTGAACACAGGGAACTTCCCAGAGACTCATACTCCAACCAAGGACTATTCATGGAGATAACCTAGAACCCTGACAATGCAGCCACTTCTGATGAGAACTGATAGACTAAGATCAGAAAGAAGGAGAGGAGGACCTCCCCAATCAGTGGACATGGGGAGGGTGGGACCGGGAGGAGAGGAAGGAGGGGCTTATGGGGAGATACAAAATGAATAAAGTGTAATTAATAAAAGTTAAATTAAAAAAATATTAAAAAAAAATTTAAAAAAATGATACCCCGTAGACTTTATTTCTGAACTCATGGCTTTCAATGGTTTTAACAATAAATGTCAATAAAAATGCAATAAATCTTCCTAAGGTGTATTTTAGTAATATAAAAGGTGTTACTCAAACCCTACCCTTCCATGAGCTTCCTGTAAAAAACAAATTTAGATTCATAAATTGAAAACATTTCCCTAATAATTTTATGTAACATATTTTTGATAGTAGCTAACCTCTAAACTTACTAGAAATGACAACCGTGAGGGCTATACCTAACTGCAGTTTCCAAACACATCTATCTTTTTCTTGAAAGTCTATATTGCTGTTACAGATAATAACATGGAGGAAAATGTGACTGCTATGATGGGCAGCAGATATGAGTGTGTCATCCAAAGATTCATGTGCTCGAAGTTCCGTCTGCAGAATGGCAGTGCCGCTGTTGACACACTGAAGGGCAGGCTCCAGTAGGAGGTTAGCATGCACTGTAGTACCCCACAGAGGATGTGTGTGGTTCTCAAGGAACCCTGGTCTAGCTGACACAAGAGCGGCAAGGAAAAGAGCAAGCCTGCCTCCGTCTCTGTCTGGCCTGGCTGCCACGCCTCCTGTACCTCTGACACACTTTCCCGCCATGATGCCATTTACCATGACGTGATGGAGTGAGAAATTCCTGACCAGAGACAAGCAGATGAGGGAACCGTGAAGGCAAAGCTTTCAAATATGAATTATTAATAAACCAACTCTTTATTAAAGACTTGGGTAGTTTCTTACAGCAACAGAAAATGACTAAAACCCTTAACGTAAATGAAACAACTTTTCATAATCAATAAAGACCATACTTCAGGATGAGTTTATAAAATGATACTGACTATCAAATTTTATTAATATTTGCAAATCTTCAAACTACTTTTTAAAATTAAAATTTTAATGTATTTTCTAATGATAGCATATTTGTTGCTTAAACAATAGAAAGGACAAACAATATTAGATGTGTCCTAGTGATAACAATGGAAAGTAATGACATGAGAAAAGTTGCCAACACAAATTTCAGTAAACTAACATGTGGAAGATATGTCATATTTGTTAAAATTATAGGTGATTAACAATAACCTATATTTAAAATGTTAATTCAAAGCCACTAGTACACAGTGTAATAATTTAAGATTTAACATCAAGATATTAAACTATATAGCAGATTTATTATGTGATTTACTTGTAAGAATTATATCATCAAAGAAACTCCTCAGGCTACAGCAATATACAAAAATGGACTGAAAAACAATTAAGTTCCAATATGATGGACACAGGTTGCCTATCTTTTCATCTATTTAAAATTTTAAAATTAAGTCAGAATTTTCAGTATTTCATGAAATAAAACTCTACTTATCCCTCTTAAGTTAGATAGTATGCATCTCTGTAGCTTCGTTTTTATTTTAAGAAAGTGAACAGGCTAAACAAATTAGAACAGTTCATTCGTTTGAGACAATGCTTCAGTATGTAGATCAGATTGGCTTAAATTCTTGATTTTCTTGCCTCAACTTGTGAAAGCTGGGATAACAGTTGTGTATTATTAAACAATGCTTAACAATTCTAGTATGAAAAAAAGAAGTGAAAATTGCCAGAATAAAGCAAGGCTGGCCAAATGTCAGGTATGCTCATAATACTATATACTATCACTTTTACTGAATGTACATAACCACCTTGAAAAGTATCATTACTTAACAAGTAATTAAAGAGGCCTACAAAAGGGGGTGGACATACATTGATTAAGTTACTCGTATAATTTTGACATATATGTTTTTAGGAAAATAGTTGCAACGCATACTTTTTTTTTTTTAAACTAGCTTTAAAAGTACTTATTTTGCTTGTTTGTTCTTTGAGATAGGGTTTCTCTGTGTAACAGCCCTAGCTGTCCTGGAACTCACTGTCGACCATGCTGGCTTTGAACTCACAGAGACCCATCTGCCTCTGCTTCCCGAGCCTCCACACCAAAGTACTTCTAAATCGGTACTTGAGAATATGAAAGACTCACAGTCAATTTAACTGGCAATATTTAATGTGATGAAAATCCTGGATCCTCTTCTAGAGCAAACACATGCAAATGTAAGCCTAATAAATACTTGGGTTTAAATTATGACTTCCATTTTTTAAGTTGTAAGTCATACTTTTACCATTTAACATAAATGCTTTTAATTAAACTAATTTTTTGGCAATTCACATTCATTCTCTCTCTCTCTCTCTCTCTCTCTCTCTCTCTCTCTCTCATACACACACACCTATTTCTACAAGGCACTCAGAGTTTCATTCTTATAATAAAGGATTCTGGTCTTCCTTTAGCTTGTATTCTATGATTAATTTTCATCTCCCTTTAAGAACGGCACTGTAGCATTCTACTAAGTTGGCTTTCCTCTGATGAGAACTTTCTGATGGTAGGCATATACATAGTATGCCTATACAATTACTGCATGCTTCTACTCAGTATAAGAGTTAAGGGAAGTGGCAGAGAGATATACTAAAATCAGTATGTTGAACTAGACTAATACCTAGGTCTGACAAGGAATCTAGTTACTAACAGTGAGAGGTAGAATAAGTGAGTAATCTCAAGAAAAATAATCCAGTCATCTCAAAGAGAGTGCTCATCAAAAGCATCCTTCAGTGCTACTTGTGTAACTAAGACAGATCTCAAGGAGGGGATTCTAAAGAGAATGTGGCTTTGTCTGTAAGTACAGCAGCTCTCAACCTGTGAGTCACGACTTCTTAGGGGGCACATCAGATATCCTGTTTGCTAGATATTTACATTACAATTCACAATGTAGCAAAATTACAGGTACGAAGAAGCAACTAAATAATTTTATGGCTTGGGTCACCACAATATGAGGAACTGTTCTAAAGAGCTGTAGCATTAGAAAGTTGAGATCCACTGCTGTATTACATAGATTTGTTACCTTTATTGCAATGCCATTTGTCAGTATGAAATGCCAAGTTGGTATGATACGATTTAAAGCATGATGTTTGGGTACCTTCCTATTGCTTTCATGATGAATGAGGTACACAAAAGTATTCTAAGAGTATTGCTAATTTACTATCAAAGTCAACAATTACAATCTTTAATAAGAGATTTGTTCTATATGAAAAACTTGTTATCTATTTTAAAAATGTTAAATTAGTATAAAATTAAGTGTGTAGAGTTTAAAATGGATGGGATATAAACAGTTTCAGTAAGAATTAATCTGTAATTGAGAAAGTTTTACTAAAATTTATTTTGAAAAAAGCAAGAGAAACATAGAAATATGTATTTTGATCTGCCTGAGTATGCATCCTAAATACAGTTTCAAAAGGTATTAAATCATTGAGCATCTTGTTATTTTAACACTGATTTCAGTATGTTCTATATTATGATAATTTTCTACATTCTGATCTGCATTTCTTAGGACACTATGTTGATGGACCATAAGATCTTTTACTGACCCAGGTGCAGAACCTTCTGAAGCTCTCAGAGTTCCTCCTAAAGGTTCAATTACTTTGGGTATTCTACTTACCTAAATCAGGCTTTAGGTCAGTTGGCAAGCTTAATTTCCTTGACATCTTTGCTGAAAAATAAAATACATTTTTAAAATTCTGAGAAATATTTGACTGATATTTATCATAGCAACTGATTTTCAAGATAGAAGTGAATAGTTTTATTTCTAAATCTAGATTCTGGGGTGATTAAAACATCTTTAATAATATCAGGATTGGAAAACAAATCTTCCAAATTTTTGAGAGTGTGTACTTACTTGATGTAATCTTTGGGTGCTTGAAGCTCTTACTTCAAGGCAGCATTTAAACTCTGAACTTAAAAAAAATTTCATGCTTAGGGCTAGAGGAAGTCTGGCTTCTCTACAAGGAGAAAAGTTGCTCCGCAGGTGGAATGTGTTGCGGATGAGGCAACAGTCATGAGAACAAGCTAGGCTATGTGACAGAACATCTTCCTGGCTCCCAACTATGTGGTTATTGCACTCGCCATTTTTTAAAGTTTAGAATATAAGACGTATCTATATCTCTAAACAAATCAAGGTATTTATGTAATATAATAAACATATCTGACAGAACCATTATTTGATATAAATTAATACTTCCATTTCTATTTCAGTGAAAAAATAACACAAGTCATGCTTAATCTAAAAATCATAAACTCATTTATATAAAATATAAGTATAGGTATTTTTATGTAACAGAAAAATTGAAAAGTTCATCCACAAACTTCATGGAATTCACTTTCCATCCTCAAAATCAGTTATTGCCTTAGTTTAGGAAGAGGTTTGAAGTTAGGGGTCAGTTTGCTACATCTATTACGTTAGTGGTAGTACATGCATCATAGAATAGTGTTCCTTATGTGAAATTTAGAAAAAAAATGGTTAATATATGAATGCATATATTTGGTTAAAATTTGGATGGTTAGGAGATATTTAAAGCACAGACCCTGCTAGTCCATAAGGGCGCCATGTAAACAAAGAAATCCAGTCATAGTATATAACTTCCACATCTAAAAAAACGACAAATCCAGTGTTAGGAAGAGGCCTTCTGTAGACTGGAAAGGGCTTTGTGGGAGGGGTGAAGTCATCTTTTTTACTGCTTAGCTTGACAAAGCTGAGTAGCATACTCTACCAAACAACTGGACATATTTATACATCAGTCGTCTCATTTTCATCAGCTTACTAAGTCTGAGACAAGAAACAAAAAGCAACACAAAATTAGAATAGCTGAGTATAATCATAGCTGTTCATCTCACATACCTGGGTGCTACTACATTTGATATACAATATCTGAAGAGCTGGAAGATACTGTGTCCCTCAACTATTTCCTTCTAAAGGCAATATTAAATCAAGACTTTCAAAGAAGCCACAGAAGTCTTCAGCAGATATCACAGGTCCAATACAGATAGACTGGTAACAGGTGAAGCTTAAAATTTTAAAAATCAGTTTTTCATAGCTCAAAAAGAATTTCTAAAAGAATCTCATGTCATGGATGTCATGTCTCCAGACTCCACTACTCTTCCTGGTCACGTTACTATGAACCACTAACACCTACTTCTCAAACATGGGTGTGCACATCAATCACTTGTCACTGCAAGTGAGAGCCTAGTGCTTCTTTATCCCAATTCTATGGTAATATCCCTGGAAAAAGAGGTGGGGATCTTTAAGACAAATGTAGAGAACATCAAACATCACTATAAACTCTCCTTTTAAAATTTATTTAAAAACCAAAATTCAACATATAAATCTAGAAATATCATATCATAAATAATCTGTAAATAACAAGTTTAATTCCTCTCGAAGTAAATGATATGAAATGAGTATTTTATTAATTATAAATGTTTTATTGACACTTTCATTCAGTAACCAGAACTATAGTTCTGCTAAAAGTTTTGCTAACAACAAAATTCTGAATTTCATTAAATGCTTTCGATTTTCTTTAGAATTTCCAATAGAAACAAATTTATATAATCTTGAGTATCTTTGAAAATTTAAACAAATCCTTCTCCAAAAATAAAAATTTCTTTCTAGTACATGACTGTTTTATTGTATGAAAATCATGAGTATAGTTAAAATACTTCTCTAGCAATTCTGATCTAATTGTAGTAATTTCTTAGTATGAGGAGAGCAAACATACAATGTTTTGTTATAACTGTCAAAACATTTTAATTATGTACTCCTATTAGTTGTTTTGTCCCCAACCCCCTTTTCACTGCAGAGCTTGCTATCTCAGCAGCCATAGATTCGGCTGGTCCTGAGGTCAGCAACATGGAGCAAGACTGTGGAGACAACATTCAACTTCACTGTGCATCTCTCTTTCTTAAGAAATAAAACACTTTTAGCAAGAGTCCTCCCTCTTGATTAGTTTCTTTAGGTGTACAGATTTTAGTAGGTTTATCCTATATTATATGTCTATATGAGTGAGTATATACCGTGTGTGTCTTTCTGCTTCTGGGATAGCTCACTCAGGATGATCCTTTCCAGTTCCCACCATTTACCTGCAAATTTCATGATTCCCTTGTTTTTAATTGCTGAGTAATATTCCATTGTGTAGATGTACCACAATTTCTGTATCCATTTCTCCACTGAGGGGCATCTGGGCTGTTTCCAGCTTCTGGCTATTACAAATAAGGCTGCTTCAAACATGGTTGAGCAAATGTCCTTATTGTGTACGTCTTTTGGGTATATGCCTAAGAGTGGTATAGCTGGATCTTGAGGAAGTGCTATTCCTAGTTGTCTGAGGAAGCGCCAGATTGCTTTCCAGAGTGGTTGTACCAGTTTACATTCCCACCAGCAGTGGAGGGGGGTTCCCCTTTCTCTACAACCTCTCCAGCATGTGTTGTCCCTTGAGTTTTTGATCTTAGCCATTCTGATGGGTGTAAGGTGAAATCTCAGGGTCGTTTTGATTTGCATCTCCAATGCTCAATCCCTATCCAGAAAGGCAAAGAGGATGGATATCAGAAGAAGGAGAAAAGAGGGAACAAGTCAGGAGCCTGACACAGAGGACCTCTGAAAGGCTCTGCCCTGCAGACTATCAATGCAGATGCTCAGACTTATGGGCAACCTTTGGGCAGAGTGCAGGGAATCTTAGGAAAGAAGTGGGAAACAGTAAGATCTGGAGAGGACAGGAACTCCACAAGGAGAGCAACAGAACCAAAAAATCTGTGCACAGGGGTCCTTCCTGAAACTCATACTCCAACCAAGGACTATGCATGGAGATAACCTAAGACCCCTGCACAAATGTAGCCCATGGCAGTTCAGTATCCAAGTGGGTTCCATTGCAATAGGCACAGGGACTGCCTCTGACATGAACTGATTGGCCTGCTCTTTAATTACCTCCCCCTGAGGGGGAAGCAGCATTACCAGGCCATAGAAGAAGACAATGCAGCCACTCCTGATGAGACCTAATTGACTAGGATCAGAAGGAAGGAAAAGAAGTCCTCCCCTATCAGTGGACTTGGGAAGGGGCATGCATGCAGAGGGTGGAGGAAGGGAGGGATTGGGAAGGGAGGAGGAAGGGAACCACGGGGTGGGGGGATACAAAGTGAATAAAGTGCAATTAATAAAGAATTAAAAAAAAAAAAGAAATGAAACAAGTGGGTTTTCCTAGGAAGGGGAACAGAGACTGTCTCTGACATGAACTCAGTGGCTCTTTGATCACCTCCACCTGAGGGGAGAGCAGCCTTGCTAGGCCACAGAGGAAGACAATGCAGCCAGTCCTGATGAGATCTGACAGGCTAGGGTCAGATGGAGGGGGAGGAGGTCCTCCCCTAACCGTGGACTTGGAGAGGAGAGGGGCATGGGAGGAGAACAGGGAGGGTGGGAATGGGAGGGAATGAAGAAAGGGGCTACAGCTGGGATACAGAATGAATAAACTGTAATTAATATAAAAAACAAAAATTAAAATAAAAAAGAAATAAAATAATGAGAATACTGAAGCTGTGTGAGTTGATAGTTCAATAATACAGAACAAAGTGTAGGGAGTAAATTTTAAGCTGTGTTAGAACCGCCAGGACTTGTGTGAAAAGAGCAGGAGAGCGACCAACAGCACTGGTCCACTTAAACTGACTTCAGAATTACTTCTGGTTTTACTGAGAAATGAGTTATCAACTGATCTTGGGACTGAGGAGATGAGCAGTCCCTGACCCCATCTTAACAGCTGTCATAGGAAAACTACCGTACAGTCCATTAAAAATAGAGTTGTATTTATACTTGTTTTGGCACAGCACCTACTTTGGTTGCTGTAATTCTGAATCTTTATCTTTTAATCTCTAACATAATTTTCCCTTCCTGGCTTCATATACTTAGGCAATTTGGTAAGCCTTCCTGATGCATGGAGGTAGAGGCATGGTATCTAACTTGAAATCTACTTTCAGCATGACATGAGAAATAATAATCATCAAATAGGAAAGTTCAGCAAAGTTAGTTTTGATTTTCTTATCGAATAGCGCTAGCATGTGGTTAATTTTATTTATAAGGTTATCTTAGAAGTATTTTATATAGTTGTATGTAACCATTTACACACAAACCAAACCAATGATTTTTCTTTGTAGAATCTCACTTCTAAATTCTCATAAATATAAATGAAGAGAACATAAAAGTAGTGACTTACGGAATTATGACAGTCAAGGAAAGTTACTGATTTGAAAAGTCGTGGCTTTACGATTTTAATGATGAATTTAGTGCTACAGCACAATCAGGCAAGCGCACTACCCGTGTACTATGTGCACGTAAGGCTCTCTGCATGTGACATCACTGCATCATATTCTGCTCCAATTTCTTCACAGGTTGCTCTCTTAGGTCAGTGTCAGGGTCATTTTTCTGGATTAACTGCTGGTAATGAGGCAAGAGAGGGAGCCAGGCTTGGGGTTCAGCAGCCAGTGTACTCCAGTTTGCTGCTGCTCTCTCGAGTCTGATCTTTGAGACAGACTTCCGGGAACCAGCTGTTAGGCTCAGGCCATGGGTGCTAAAGTGCTGGACAAGAATTTGCTTTTTTGTATCCAAACAAAATTTGCTTTTTTTTTTTCCTTCAGTGTCTATTTTAATTATTTAAAATGTTATTATAAAAAACTTGTAAATAAAGAAAATTATGCACAAAATTTGATGAGCCATTTTCCTCCATGTTACTATGCAGCAGAATAGGGCCATAGGCAGATTATCTATGAATTGCACAGTATGTTCATAATATACATTCTGTAATGCATATGTGTGTATAAAGCCATTGTAGCTTTCACAACATTGTGCTGAGAAATAAGACAGCGCACGCAGTGACCCGGACCACTGCATCTCACATTTTGCTGTCGAGTCGACAGATACACGGTTTCCTCCTCTGTGAAACAGAGAAATAACAGTTCATGGCATTACTAAGTCGATTAAATAAAAAAAATTGTAGTGCTGGAAAAATATAATAAATAATTACATTAAAAAGTTGTTCTAGTATCATCTACCTCTGCTGTATTGTCAGAGCAATGACAAGCTAAAAAAAAAAAAAGTTCATTTCCCATGACCAGGGGAAGGAAAAAACATACTGTATGAAAAAAAAAAAAACTGATTTCAAAGAAATAAATTAAAAAAAAATGCTGAAGTATAAATTGCACCCTGTACTACCTCTACTCTAGCAACCCACACCCTATCCCTGTCACCAGCAGCAATTACGCTACAACAAGTGAAAATTAAGAACAAAGCCATGCAGTAGCAACCCAGGCCAGTTTTTGTTAGCATTAAGCTGTGTATTTCATTTACTTCACAATCACCTAGAGAGATGGCCTTGAGTGCTACAGACTAGATGATGAAGAATGCAATGTGCTAGCAATGCTATAGAAGTCCTGGTGGTTTCTATATTTAAGATTTAAAAACATTTTAACATCTATGTATTTGAGTGCTTTGCTTGGATGTACATATATGCATACATGGTGGCTTTGGAGATGAGAGAGGCTGTTGGATGTAGGTGTTGGGAACTGAACTTGGGCCTCTACAAGAGCAATAAACTGCTGCTGAGCCATCTCTCCAGACCCTAGTCCTAATACTTTATAGAGTGTCCCATAGCAAACACTAATCTTAGTAGACAGTTCATTGACATTTCATGTTTCTCAACAGTGAAGTTTATGCTAATTATTATAAAATAGATTCTATAATATAGAGAGATGCATATAGAGATTCCATACCTCATGTGGAACATTTCAACAATAAAACCTCCCCTATGGAATATGGGACAGACTCCATTTGATAAAAGGAAAACCTTGAGACATTAGATTTATTTCTATATAACAAAATTCTTATATCAACAAAGAGGCATCAGACAAAAATCTTGTAAAATACAATAAAGATACTGCAGGTGAGGAAAATGTTCCTGGTTTAAAATAATCATACACTACCATAACTTTGGAAAAATGAATGAAGTCACATATTTCCTAAGAAGCATTGCTACAAATGTTGGCGTGACAAAAAGAGAGACATGAAGATATAAAAGAAATGAACACTATCTAAGCCATAGCCTTCCAAACATGTTCTCTAGCCTAACAAATGTGTTCATAGTCTTTTAAGTAAGTGAATACAAATATTTCAAGTTACATATTTACCTGAAATAGAAAAAAAAATGGGAAGGTACACATTAATAAGGCATATATTGCCGAAGGAATAGAAGTCAAACTGAAACTACGTTAACAAATTTAACTATCTGCATTTTATTTTTTCCAGATCAGGTAAAAGTTACTTAGTAAAACTGCTGTAGAAAAGAACTATCTACAGTGGCGACAAAACCGGAATGTAACAGGATACAATATGCTATAAAAGAAATTAGTTGCAAAGAGTTAGTACATAATTAAAGTGGTTAATTATTATTAACAACAGATTCACTATGAAACCACAATAAAGAATAAGTAATTGATGAAAAGCCCTTTGTCCAAGAGTAATCCACCTTACTTAAGAACAACCAGAGGGAGAATAGTCATCCAACATTAATATAACTAAACAGGGTTCAATTTACCATGCTCAGAAAACAAGGGTTTTCTTGTAGTAAGTTTTGAAAACTCTACCATATATTAAAGGTTATGAAGTGAGGAAAAGTACAAGTCTTCCAACTGCAGAGAGAGTCATGTACCTCAGCTAAAGGAGTATGTGGTAGGAATGATGATATTATCACTCGGTAGAAATGCTTGCCTCAAAAGTGTGAGGACCTGAATTTGAGCCCCAGAACCTACATAAACAGAAGGCGGGGCACCGTGGTGTGCACACAAATCCCTGAGCTGACAGGCTCAGCAAGACAGATCCTGGGACTGCCTAGCCCACCAGTCTAGTTGACTATGTAGTGAGTTCCAGGCCAGTGAAAGACCCTGTCTCAAACAAGGCAAAGCAAAACAAAAGGTACAACAAAAAGCAGATGGCACCGAATGACACACAAGTTGTCCTTTTTTTACAAGTCTGAACACACATGTGCCTGCACACACAGTACTTTTCCATAATGTGATCATGCAATACACATATACCAGCCACCCCAAAACATAAAAAGAAAAAAAAAACAAGAAATATGTAGTAAATATGTAGGGGAAATTTAAAAAATCATATTTACTGTATAATGAAGGTTCCATGTTTAAGTCAAAGGTGAACTAGTCTTTTTTTTTTTTTTTTATAAAAGTATTTGGTCAAGACTGATCATTCATTACAAAATATGCATAAAACAATTAAAAGTGGTACAAATATTTTTATTTGTGCTTGGGGATGGTCTTGGTAAGAACTGTCAATTACCCTGATTCCCTGATACTGGTATTGTTTACAGAGTGAAAATGGCATCTTTTAGAAGAACATTTCCTTGACATGAGACCTTAAAAATATGAGAGATATGGATGTAAAGGCATAGTTTAACAAGTGGGTGCAAGTTTGGTATTTAGAGCATAAATTGAACCCTGTTTTATTTTAAAACAAAACAATACTAAAAGTGAACAGAATAATTCATATGGTAATTCAAGAGAAAGAGCCACACCTCAATTTAACCAATTTTAAGAATTATTTCCCAAATGCATTTAGAATAGACAAAGCCCAAAGATTACTGTTTAGCAAAGGAATAACAGATTAACACATAGGAGATACAATGCCCTGGATCATTTCCTGGTGTTGGGTTAGCATTACATGGAGCAACAATTAGAAACAAAATAAAAGCTTCTATTTCCTACCTAGATCACTGGCTACCATCTTGGAAAACTTTCTGCTTTTGGTCTTCACTGAAAATAATATTTTAATATAAAATGTCAAAATCTATTCAGATTAAACTAAATAAATTAAGTATAAATAAAACAAAATACTTTAAAATAAAGATACTATACCCTTTTCTATAAAATTATTCACTTTTTGTTCATCATCTGAATTGTGTGGTGATGAAGAACCTACACAAATGAAGACAACGGGAGGAACAGGGGCAAACTGTCAGTCAAACACAGAGATGGCACAGCAAACAATCACAAATTAAGAGCCTGGTGACCGCCAAGCTTTGATGAACACAATCTGAGAATACTGCAGTACTGCAATTAGTAGTATACAATCTTTTATAGCGCACCCTAATATATATAAATTTATTTCTGATAATTTTTCTTTAATGCATAATAATTGTGCAGAATCTTAATGCATTTTATAAGTTGGAGAGGACAAATAGGAAATATAACATTTAGACACCTATAAAGTACATCTTACATATCTTACAGATTAAATTATTCCCCATCTTTTGAAATAGAGATTACTTCCCCCTTGAAGTCTTCATGATACTTTACATACTTCTGATGCAATGTTCACCATTTAGTTATGTATCATTTTTAAATTTTTACACAGCGAACCTTCCTCACTGCAACAAAATTCCAATCTATTTTACAACCTACTTTTGATCAATGGTGTGTATTTCATGTAGCTGTCACTAGTTCATATTAGCTAAATAAAGGGAGATTTTCTGATTTTCTGTTTGAAGCGAATATTACAAAAAAAATGAGAAGGAAATAAAAAGATTTCCTTTTTATGCCTGAAAGAATTCCATTAAAAGTAATTAACCTTAATAAACTAGGCAGAAACATAAAAGCTTGAACTTGACTTCCCTCAAAGTCAGCTTTCTTTACTGTGGCCAGGGAGACTCTGTCAGCAAGAAAAACCTGCCAACATGGGCAGGATGCAATCACACCTACAGAGGTTTGCAAACACTGTTTTATGAATAATTCATGTTGTTTTTGTCAATAACATCCATAGATTTTCCCAAATCTCATATAGGACTAGCACAAAACCAACACCAACCTTAGTAATAGTTGGAGAACAGAAGCAAGTATAGCTATTTTTCATACAAATATAACACCTTTAAAGAGTATAATGGCCATAGAAACTTACAAATTTTAAAATATTGTTATTTCTGCTGCCAAATGGCTGTATAAATTTATGGTAAAATGGATATTAAAAATAGCTTTATTTTATGTAGTTCATATTAGACTAATATCAAATCATCATCTCCATATATTAATATTAGAGAAATGTTTGGTGGTTTCTAAACAGGCATATAGTTGAAAATGCTTTCTATTGGTTGTTGTAATTTTGATGACAACACCATGACAAGTTTCAAAGTTTATTTGAATAAATCTACCAGATTACTGTAATTAGACAAACACCTATTTTCCCCAGTCCACATATAAACACCAAAAGGCACATATATAGACATATATGTATACATGCATATGTTATATGTGAATTTTCAGTTAAAACAGATTCCTACTTTCTGTGTCTATATAGATATAAGCAGGTGAGTCAAAGAAAAGCACATCTCTCCCAACATGCTAGGTGAGGCAATCTGAGCATCTGCAGGCACCACTTCTGCCTGCTCCTGCTGAATCCAGCAGCACTGATGTGACCAATGGTTTATTTTAAAATAAATGCAAAGGGAAGCTCTCTATCATATTTTGCAACGTGTTTTCTGAAGACAGCTTTTATAATAATTAGCTAAACAGCTGACTATGCTGATTATAAGATTTAGAAGATCCTAAGTTTTCTCCATTTGTAGCTTATTTTTTGGCCAATGCGTTGGTTTTGAGAGAAGGCATGTGCATACTTACTTTTAAATATCGATCTGTTCTTAGTACTTATGAGGTACTCATTTTAAGTTCTAATTCAGTTTTATATATATTTTCCTTTCAGACAAATACTAGCTTTTAAAATATTAACTATTGTTTTTAATAATTTTTAGTGTGCCATTTGGCAATTTTATTTATTTATATCCTAGCTCATTTAAGTATTTCAGACAAGTATTTTTGTTATTCATGCTATAAAAACAAAAAAATTAAAAAGAAAACAACACAAAACTAGGTGTGGTCACCTTTAATCTCCATACATAGGAAGCAGAGCACAACCTGGTCTGCATAATGAGTTCCAGGTTAGCCAACCCTGTCTAAAATTAGCAAAAATAAACAAGAAAACTAAACCATGGCTTCTTTAAGTTAATTTAATCCATTTTTATCATTAAATTTAAAATTGTTAGTGAGAGAACTTAATTGTAATAAATTCCTGCTTATTTGTTAGCTAGGAAGTAAAACTGGATGGGGGCAAAGCAGTTATAAATGTTAAGAGTATGATGATCAGGCCACAGCAACAAAGACTAACTATGACAACAGAAAAACATATTCAAGCTTCTAGAATCCCGTGAGCAGAGGCAGCCTGACAGGGGCATTTCTGCCTCGTTCAGTGTGCTCAGCCTACAGTGGCCCACAGCATGCTTTAGAGCTGTTACTGCATGTGAAATTTGGATTGCGTTTTCTGGATGTGTGAGAACAGACTGACTCCTCGGAGACGTCTACCATCTGAGCAGAAGGAGACGTTAGTCCAAAAATGCAGTGCAGGTGTATACTGAAGAATAGGAATTCATGTCTTTTCACTAATTTTCTTGAGATTACAACTTAAGCTCTGCATTCCAAACTGACTGAAGCATTAGAAAAAATGAAAATAGGTAGTGTCATAGCAATGCTAAAAATTATACCATTTTCATATGAACCACTAAGAAAAATATAGTTTAAAATGTTGAGCCATGTTTAAGTTTTCTCTACTTTGAGGGTTTCTGGGGTAGGATTCAGAGTACAAATTCATGTACTCTCTATATTTATATACTTATATTTAGCTATCCCTTTGTATTTAACTAAAATTATGTATTACTATTAAATGCTTCATATCTACCATTCTCAAGTTTGGCTTAGGAAGAGAAGCTATATTAATTCATTTGAGCTGAGTAACTAAATAAATTATCAGTTTAAGTGTGCTCTGTCCCATGTTCCAATTACACACTGTGCTCAGTTCCTTAGCATACTGGCAACTGTACTGACTAGAGGAGCAGAAATAAACTGAACGTACTTGGAAGGCACAAGGAAGATACACTACAGTTCTAACTCTACACTTAGAAACAGATCAGTCCAGCAGGAGGGACAGTAATTACTTTCTGTTGTGCACAACTTGACCGATATGTGGGAGGCAGTGGGGCTTCTGTGGCTCTGTTTTAGGAGTTTAATGAGGAAACTGAAATAGGAGGTTTAAGAAAAACAAAACACCTGTGTGGACAGACTGCATGTGCATGTGTGTGCTGGTGTGTGTCTGTGTGTGTGTGCGTACTGCATGCATACATGGGGAGGTCAAGGAGCAGCCCCAGGTGTCAGTCCTCAGGTGCTCTCCACCTTGTTTTGAGGCAGAGGCTCCTGTCCTGGTACTTGCCACACAGACGAGGTTATCTGGCCAGTAACCACCAAGAATCCTTTTGTCTTCAACTTCCCTGGTGCTGAGATTATAGAAATGCATCATTATGCTTGGCTTCTCTGTGTGGGCTCAGTGGAACAAGTTCACATCTTAAAGGCAAGCACTTGCCAATGGATCCTCTCCCTAGTATACTCTTTAGTTTACAAAAATCAAATGATCAATTTGAAACATTAGAAAGAACAACTGTAAAAAGAAGCCATGGAAGCTTTGATCAACTTAGGGCTAATAAATGCAAACTGAAACATGAGATTAATATAAAATACTCCTTACAGTACAGCATTGTACAATTCTTTCCAATATAGTAGAGCAGCTAGTGAAAGACAAAAACCTAAACATGGTGTTACTTATGCCAAGAAAAAAAAAATCTTTCTAAGAGAAAGCTAATAAAGATTCCTATGTAGAAAAATTAATAAATTTAATTAAAATAATAAAGTTAAATTTACTAAAGATTAGCAAAGCTTCAATTTCTTACAATAATAAGCTTAAGACTTTATTTCCTAAGGATTCTCAAATTTATTAAAATAATGTTGCTGTGAACTATTAATGTACACATGGGCCATATAAAGTCCCATCTGCAAATAAAAGAGAGTTGCTTAAATAAGCCCATAAACATATGGGAAACAACCTCAATCAAAATGAAACAAGTCTAAACAGGCTTTAATTTTCCTAAGAGTCTACTTTTTCAAACCACAGGTATCACAAAATTTAATAACATTTGGGGCTAGAGGTGTCACTGGCAAAGGGTGGGATTGCCTCATATGTACAAGGTCCTGGTTTGATCCCCATCATTGTGTGAAAAGGAAAAAAAGTCACAGCATTGGAATGGACATGATTTAATAACTACCAAGAAGCTGAATTTTCAAGTTAAAAAAAAAAATCAACTTTTCACTGATTTACTCCATTTTAGTAAACATTGCCAGGGTGTCTTAGCTAGAAGCAAAGATCTAGATGTATGCAGAAGCATACCTCGTGTTGATTCAGTGGTAACTGGAACACAATACTGCAACTATAAGAAAGCTAACTGAGCAATCCTACAAGCCTGGACAAACAGAAGCTATAGGGTTTGAACCAGCATGTGCTGTTTCTTTTTATTTATTAAAACAGTTAAAACTTTAAGAAAGACAGGTGGTAGGTTTCTCATATACAATTTTAAGTGTTGAAAAGAAGATATACCAATATGCCATCTTATTTTTTTAAAATTCACAATTAATAATGAGATCAAATCAGATTACCGGATGTCGGAGATTTGCAGCGATCCTCTGGGATGACAGTCCCTTCAGTGATATCACACAGGCCTGCTGCAAGGCAAGTAAGAGTGAATGAGATCACACCAGTTTATCCAAGCTTGCTTCCTATGTTCAGGGTCCATTTCACTACTAAGCACATGAAGGCAGATTAACAGATTGGGCAATGATGGGGCTTGAGATGGGAAAGTTCTGGTAATAAAGTATCTCCAGCTAGTCCAGACGGAGCCCACTAAGCAGCAAAGTTTGGAAACACAATTTTTAAATGAGGTCATTTGTTGTTCTTGGCAGATATCAGACATGATGCAAGGTCCATAAAATACCAGCAATGTGGAGTGCACCCTATGCTCTTCTGACTTTCCCAAGGGAGGAGAAACACTGAAGGCTGGAAATTGTTTTTTTATCACAAGAGCTTGAGCCCTCAGCTTTAATTTCTAAATGGTTTTCCACAAGTAAATCTTAAACATATCTCTTAAATATTTTAAAATAATTATGGAAATATTTTGTGTCTCTTAATTTTTTAGTATTTTAAATACTGCACATTATCTATCCTATACAGTATCCCTCTAAAAACTATAATATCACATTTTAAAACCTCTTAACAAACAAAGACTTTTCTCAAGGCAGATATGAATTACATAAATTATATATGATCTATACTACAAGTTGGCCTAAATTATTATAAAAAGCACTACAAAGTACTTTATGAAAACATAAACAGAAAGGATTAACTAAAATGTAAGATGTATGAAAAAGCCACATGGAAACCTATTATAATAGTCATAACAGTAATGTAACACCAATAAAGAATATAAAGGGAGATACCCTGCAGAGGTGGACAACACTGCTCCCGAAGGCAGACTACTAAACAAAATTGCCAACATCACGTGTGGGATGCCTCCCTATGAGCTGCTGGTCTGGAGGTGCCAAGGCCCCCAAACAGTTCAGGTTAACCCTGCTACTCTGCGATTCCTGCCGGAACCACAGGGTGAGACCTCTGCTGACCACCACACACTTTGGCTGCACAGAAACCAAGCTGGACCCAAGCTTCCTCCCTACTGGCCAGCATCTGTAGGGCTGGAAAGTGCTCTGTGGGCTTCCAGGAGAAGTTGCTAAGGATCTTACACAGCAGCGAATTCTAGGAGCTACAGTGCTGACCTGCCGGGCATGACGGGAAACACTGGCTAGACTTACAGGGTTACCCATACCAACTACCTTCTGATTGGATTTGGGGCCTGTTCCACAGAATGAAAGTCATGCTTACAACTGTAAAAGATCAAAATTCTGTAATGAGTATGTGTGTGTGTTTTTGTCTGTGTGTCTGTGTGTGCACATGTGTCTGCGTGCGTATCTGTGTCTCTGTGTATCTGTGTGTCTGTGTGCATATCTGTGTCTCTGTGTGCATGTGTGTCTGTGTGTGCACGGGTGTCTGTGTGCATATTTGTGTCTCTGTGTGTATGTGTGAATGTGTGCGTATCTGTGTGCGTGCATATCTATATCTATGTGTATATGTGTGTGCGTGTGCATGTGTGTGTGCGTGTGTGTGTGTGTGTAACCCACTCCTGTTGTTTTGCTGGTCCAGTCAAGCTGCCTTCTAGACCATTAGGTTTATACTCAAAGATCAACACTCTCTGCTTTTTTAGAGAACCTTCTTTTTTGCCGTGGTTGACTCAAAATTGGTCAAACTGTTCAAAATAATTTGCTTTGAGTGCTCAGCCCTAGACAGGGCATCTGTACCAACTCCTCCCAGGCTTAGGGAACAGGCAGAAGGTTGGACAGCACACGTACAGAGCTGAAGGTTGGTACAGAGTGCTGGGACATGCTGTCTTCTGAATGTGGCATTACTGCTGCACCCAAGAAGCCACAGTCACACAGCAGGGGTGGTTTCTAATACAAGACTCGCAGGAGAGGACCAATCAACCCTCCATCGTTGGTGTGGAAGGGGATCATGACATTCCACCACTCTTTGCAGAGTAACAGGCAGTTGATGGTTACTGAGGGAGAGGGCATATTTCTCATTGGTTTAACAACTGGTCAATTGTCCTTGTTCAGGTAAATAACCTTCCCTGCCCATGACGCAAGGAACCTGAACTAAATGTAGCAGTAGTAGTGGTAGGAGGGACAGAAACACACACACACACACACACACACACGCACACATACAAACACACATACACATGGACACACAAAAGCACACATAGACGCACTCACAGAGGCACACACACATACACAGAAACATGCATGCACACCCATGCACATATGCACACACACACATGCTATTAAAATACGAGGGGCCCTTATTGGAAAGTTTGGGTTTGCTGAGAAACTAGAAAAAAAGATTAAGAGGCAGAATTAAAGAAAGTGGGCTGATGCAATTTAATTTAGATATTAAATGTAACAACCATTAAATGAGTTAAGGACAACAAAACGCCGAAGATCTTTCCTATCTCTGCCCCTGCTCAGGGCCAGAGCCGGCTACAGCGCTGCTGACGGAGGCCCAGATCATGTCACTGTGGCATCTGCCCCCTTTACATCTTCCCCCTGCTCCCCATCCCTTCACTCACTACTCCAGTCACTCACCAAGTGGTGGTCAGAGTTCACATGCACGGGAAGCAAGCTGCAGTCACAAGATGACTCTGTTCAATGCATTCCTCCATTACTCACTCCACTACTTTCCTGAGGAGCAACCACCCTCGCTACATAAAGCAGGGTGCTGAGCTATAGAACAACCCTCACAGTAAAGCACATGCAAACAATTGAAGTAGGAATTACGGTTTCTAACCCACTCTGCTGCCAAGTACAGTAATTACCCTTCAAATGGTGCCAATTTTAGTAAGTTTGCTTTCTCTTACACATATCCAAATAGAAAAAAAATTAACAATAGAATTATGAGTGAAATGTCTACCAGGGGGTGTAGACTATACTAAGAATGTCAGGGCATAAACAAACTGGCATGCATTGCTACAATAAAAGTGTATCTGAAAATGCAGGCAGCGAGCCAGATTTGTTTACAGATGGCATTTTGCTAAGTCAAGTTACGTCAATCAATCATGGAAAGTGTCAGGTTGAAGTAGATACTTTAAGTCAATGGTGCCTGTCTTACAAAAATATCAAATACCTGATTAACTTCATGAAATGTGTGCTTATCAGATTTAAAAAGCAAATGTTGTGCTTGTGAGACAACTTAGCAGGTAAAGCACTTGCAACACAAACGTGACAGGCAACCTGAGTTCACCCCCTGGAAAGCATGTAAAAGGCCGAAGGAGAGAAACAATTCCATCAATTTGTCCTCAACTTTCACAAGCATCAGTAGCATGCACGTGGCACTACCCTCAAACACACAACGCACACAGCAATAAAAAAATCAGTTTATGAATAATTACACATCCTTATTTGTTGGACGTGTACATGTGAGCATGTGGGCACATACACTGTTTGAAGGGTAGATGCTAGCACTATTTGTCTTCCCTCTTTGTGGAGACAGAGACTCATTGTACTGTCAATGCTCCCACACCACACGATGAGTGAGCACCTAGCCTTACATGGGTACTGGAGATCTAAACTCAAGTTCTCACACCTGCACAACAGGCACTTTCCTGATAAATTTACTTGATAGACCTGTATGCTTAGTGAGGCTCTGCTGGTATCTACTGATCACCTCCATTTCAATTTTTGAAAAAAATATCATCATCATCATCATCATCATCATCACCACCACCACCACCACCACCACCACCACCACCACCACCACCACCA